GAAGAAGAAGAAGAAGAAGGAAGTGAAGTAACTGATGATGAGTCTATAGAGGGTAGCAACTCGAATGATAACGTAAATGATGAAAGTGAAGAAGAACCACAGGGTACTCACCATCTAAGGGACAGAACAAACTTGAGAAAACCTTTGTATCTAGATGATTATGTTACTGAAGCAGAAGCAATCCTCAACAATCCACCTGAAACTTATGAAGATGCCATGTCCAATGGAGAAAGTGACAAGTGGAAAGAAGCAATGGGGAAGGAAATGAGTGCCTTGCATGAAAATGGCACATGGGAGTTAGTAAATTTACCAAAGAATGCTAAGCCAATCCAGTGTAAATGGGTATACAGGATAAAGGAAAATCCTGATGGAAGCGTGGACAAATACAAAGCGAGGCTGGTGATTAAAGGATTTAATCAGCGCAAAGGCATAGATTACAGTGTGACGTTTAGTCCTGTAGTGAAATGGGAGACAATTCGCTCTGTAATCAGCGTGGCTGCAAAAGAAAAAATGTATATGACTCAATTTGATGTTTCCACAGCATTTCTGTATGGGGATCTTGAGGAAATTATCTATATGAAACAGCCAGAAGGCTTTGAAGATGGCACCAACAGGGTATGCAAGTTAAAAAAGAGTTTATATGGATTGAAACAAGCACCAAGGTGCTGGAATCGACGCTTTGGGAAATTCTTATCCAATCAAGGATTTCAAGCTAGTAAAGAGGATCCATGCCTCTACGTGAAAAAAGAAAAGAAAGGGAAAATGATATTGGTCTTATATGTTGATGATGGGTTAGTCACAGCCACAAATGAAGAAGAACTGAAGAACTTTCTTCAAGCATTGAGAAAAGAATTCAGTATCACTGTTAGTGTAGCACACCATTACTTGTGTCTGGAAATTAACATCCAAACTAGTGGACAAGTAAAAATTTCTCAGGAAGCTTATGCAAGGAAACTTTTGAAATGTTAAAACTTTGAAAACTGTGCACCTGTATCTACGCCTATGGAGAAAGGTTCCTCATTAAGGAAAGTTCATCAGATGCAGAACAGTGAGGAGCAGAAGATGTCAGTAAACTTCCCATATAGGCAGGCGGTTGGAGCACTTATGTATTTAATGATTGGTAGCAGGCCATACCTGGCTTACAGCATAGGCGTTCTTTCCAGATGTCTTGAAAATCCATCAAATGAAGATGTTATCAAGCTGAAAAGGGTACTACGTTATATTAAAGGCACCTTGTCTTATGGTATAGTTTATAATTCCAATGTAAACTCAAACTTTTAGAATGTTACAGCGACGCAGATCTCGGTGGATGTGAGAAAACTGCTCGTTCCACCTCAGGAGCAGTTGTACTCTTTGCTGGAGGAACGATTTCATGGAAAAGTCGTAGGCAATGTAGTGTGGCCATATCAAGTACTGAAGCTGAGCTTGTTGCAGCATCTGAAGCTACTAGAGAGGTTCTCTGGTTAAGCAGACTCTTCAAGGAAATCACCAATGTAAATGAGGTTCCTATTCTGCAGGTCGACAACGATGCAGCAATAAGACTGGCCCAAGATCCAATACTCCATGGTCGCACAAAACACATAGAGAGAAGACACTTCTTTATTCGTGAAAAAGTTGAAGAAAGGAAAATTAATGTAAAATATGTTCCTACTCAACATCAAGTAGCTGATGTTATGACAAAACCCTTGTCTAAAGAACAGTTAAAATTGTTTTGTTAAAGAATGGGTTTAATGTGTTAGAACATTACAAGTGTTGTAATTAATGAGACTTTCATTTTATGAATTATGTTAATTCCATGTTCAGTGTCAAATTAACAAGGGAAAGTGTTAATTTGTTCAGTTGGTAGCACAGTGTTCATCTTCTGATAGTTTAGGTTGGCTGTATGTGCAGCCTCCATGTTTTTCTGTATGCTTAAAAGACACTGAGGTTTGTCCTTCCGCCCACTGTGTAGTGATTCGTTCAACTGGAGTCCAGTTTGCTCTAGCAAAGTTTGCTACTGCACGTGTTATATTGTAACTATAATGTAAGCAAGTAAAAGGCAGAAGCCTAACAATACAATGACGTGTATTGTGTGTGTGATTAAAGCAGTAAGTCATTAACTGAAACTACAGAGATCAAATTTCTGGCGAATAACTTATCACTAACAGCTGTTGCTAAAGAACAGCTCTGCGGACATGCTGTTTCTCCAGCAATGAGAGAACACTGAAAAATGGAAGAGACATTTTCTCTGTGGTCCGAGCCAGGGCTATATAATGAGGACTATCATTTCAGAATAAGTTCTGGGGAGGACTAGCAGCAATTTGGTAATCAGCCTGGACAGAGAGAGGATTTGTATATAGTGATAAAGGAATAATTTTCAATG